CAAAGGAAGAACAGAGAGGGTTCACGTTGGTTTTCGTCGGACCTTTAGAGACGGCGTAAAGATTTTTGGACAAAGATCTCAAAGGCAAGTTCTAACCTTACTCTCTCCCTTATACTCGTGTTCTTTGCATACTCAATAGTTCCAGGATGAATTACATGTTTAAAAATAAAAACGTTATCTGTTTCATGTTTAGAGTTTAACTGAAACTGAATTTGTTTTAAAATTGTAAACTGTTTAACTTTGAACTTTCTTGTTTAATTCTTGGTTTAATCCATATTAGTATCATAATAAGGACTGAATTAAGGGTTGGAATCTTCTGGGATTAAGTTAAACTCTCTGAAAACCTATACTGTGAAGTGTCGGAGGCGTAAACGGCGACTGGAGAGGAAAACACGAAGAAGAGGAGGGAGAGAGCCGGCTCCTATTGGATTGGAGCCGGCTCTCCTTGGACTGGAGGCGGCTCCAATGGTCTAGGAGCCGGCTCCAGGGCCATTGGAGGCGGCTCTAATATTCTGGAGCCGGCTCCAGGTTGTTTGTTCGTGGGTTTTTGGTTCTGTTGGTTGTTTTTTTCCACTTTTCAGTGATTAGGCTTCCTAGTGATTGTTTTAATATGTTTTAGTGGATAATGAATACTGTAATGGATGGTTTAGGAGTGGTCTAGAGTAAACATAAATATGCAAAGATCAGATTAACATAGAATTGGACACAAAGCATTAATCATTAGGATTACATGGAGTTAATTACGAATGTCTTGTAGACTTGCGTGGATTTGAAGTTTCTAACTTCCAGATTATAATGTAAAATTTCTTGTGAGAATTTGTGCACTGCTAATTTCAAATTCTTAGAGTATACATACATACAAGGAATCTGTATTTTTGCTAAAGATTAGTTGATGAGTAAACTTAACATTTAACTCGTCAATTTTGTTGAATAGGAGCTTAACAGTATGATAAATTGTCTATATTTATTATGCATGCCATGGAAATAAATATTATAACATTTGTTTAAGCTCTGTTAATTATGGATACCGGGAATAAACTTATATTTACAGACACAGTCCTGTGGGTGATCAGGTAACGGCTTATTGTTGGATTAATTAAGCATGTTTTTTCTAGTATACTTTAATGTGCTTAGTTTGGAACTGTGGGTTTTGACACTAATACTGTTAATACTTAATCAATGGTTGGATTTATTAAAGCATGATGGTTAATCTATTCTAACATGGTTAGGTTGGAATTGTTGGTTTTGGCATTTATAAATTATTTAAATGCGTGGAATAGAGTAATTAATATTGATATTTATGTTTCCAATGTTAATCAATTTGTTGGGACTATTCAAGAACGGTTGTTAATACGTTCTGATATGCTTGATATGGACTCGTTGATATTGTTATGTACTTGTATATGCTTTATCAACTATTGGACGGATTGGATTGTATGTACCGGTATGGGACGGTGACATACTAGGTTTGGATTAGCTCAAATTGCTAAGTCCTACCTATTTTGGAGTAAGGGCACGGGTTATAAAATACAATCCTCCTTATATATATAAGTCGGTACGGTTGAATACGCTGAGTGACTTACTGGACTTCTTGTGGATGGTTAGAAACGGAGTTTAGATATATTTTTATGTTACCGTGTCATGAGCTTGAGTCTCAGTGTCGACGGTTAGGGTGCGTATATGCAGTTGGATGTGTAGCTGACTGTGAAGGTTGAGGTATACCCTGTTTAGGTTTAAGTACTCATGCCCACTCAGGTGCGTATTGTGTGATGCCTTCTATCCAGGTTGAGACCCCCTTCATGGCCTAGCGAGAGTCCAGTAGTGTGGATATATTTATGTACGGATTATTAGTTATTGTTGAACTATTTAGTATGTACATGCGTATCGAGTCTCTGCTTGGATTGTAGTAGGATAGAACTTGTTTGTGGGCCTAACCCACTCCTATTTTTCAGGTGTACGTCAGTTCCAGGCTTGAGCTTGTTCGTGCTGAACAGAGACGATCTTCCATTCTACCGACGATGTAGGATTTCTTTCCAGATCTTGGATTTGGATTTTATCTTTCATTTTACTTTCATTCAGTGCGAGATTTTTATTAGGGGTCCACTAGAGATGGATTCCCGAGTTGTTCAAATTATGAATATTTGGTTTATCAAATTTAAGTATTTAATTATTTAAGGATTATCTTTTAGTTTCTTTTCAGATTTAAACTTTCATTTCTTAATTCATTTTGTATTCCGTGTTTATTATAAAATATTAATTGTTTGATATTCCCTCGGGTTTGGGCCTGAGCCTGATCAACCCGTATCTCGGATCTGAGGGGTATCACAGAGACTACATTTTTCCTTCTCCGTGATGGCTCGTAAATCCCTTTTCCTTTCTCTTTGGTCCATTTTTTTATCACTCCAACCAATAGTGTGAAAGAGTTTAATTGGGTGGGAATGGAAAAGAAATCGGATCTTGCATGCCTAAAAATTATTCAAAAAGATTCCTTGTCTACATCTCCCTACCTATGTATTAGATTCATGATAAAACTCTGTTTGATTTGAACTTCATTACCAAATAAATACGTGCTTGTATTTCTGTAATCCTAAATTTGTAAATGTCTTTTTCTTTTTCTTTTTTTAAAGAATTAGCTACTGAGTGTTATACATTGTCACCACTGTTCATCAAGTGGATGATAAAAATTCAATCTTGCATACCAAATTACCAATGATTCAAAAAGATTTCTTGTCTAGATGTCCTTGCTTATTATTAGATTCACAATAAAACCCGTTTGATTTGAACTTCATTACTAAATATTTGTTTGTATGTTTGTAATCATAAATCTGTAATTGTATTTTATTTATTTATTTTTTTTAGAATTGGCTATCAAGTGTTATACACTGTCACTATTCATCAAGTGCATGATAAAAAGTAAAAAATAAAAATAAAAGTTGAATTGCATTGGCACTTCTGAGGTTTTGGTTAACGTCATTAAGAGAATGGTTAATAATTTTTTTTTACATTGACACTCCCTAAGGTTTTAAAAAATGTGGATTGACATCCCTTTCAGACCTCTAAAATTATATAAAATTACATTTTAACCTTTTGTCTTGTCAATAACTTCATTTAAATCATGAAATTATAAATTTAACCTCCTAACTAAATTTAGTGGACCAAACTAACTTCTTCATCTCTTATATATATATAGATATAGTTTATCTATAACAATATTTTTACCACCATAACCACTACCACAACATAAAAAATAAAAAAATAAAAATTTATTATATATCACCATAACTATATATCACCATAACCACCAACACCACAGTAGAAACAAAAAAAAAAAAGAAAAAAAAAAAAAAAAAAAAGAAGAAGAAGAAGAAGAAAAAGTTGAAAACAATCATGGTCACTCCATACTTATACATCCTAAGTACCACCAGAACTACCGCCATGCCAAGACGACATCACCACCACCACCATTATAAAAAAAATAAAAATAATTTTTTTGTAACATGCTGATAACCTAAACACCATCATGACCACCGCAATCACACCACAACAACCACCACCAGAGTAAAAAAAAAAAATTAAAAACAGCCATCGCCAGATTCACCACCCCAGATCCACCACAACTAAAAAAAAAAAAAAAAAAAAAAAAACCCGAAGCAGCAATGTCCAACCCAACCACCATAATAGATGAACCAAAATTTTTTTTTTAGAGATTTGGGTAGAGATCGAGACTTAACGATGATGGTAGTTTCATTAATTATCATGTTGATATTTCGTAAATTAATTAAATAAAATAATCAGGTACAGGGATGTCATTATTAAAAAAGTCAATTGATCCACGTTCAAGTGACAGTGACCCAAACTTCATAGTGTATCAATGCTATTTTCCCTCTAAAAAAAAAAGGGGGGGGGCTAAAATAACAAAATTCAAGAGCATGGATGAAAAAAAGAATAAATTTCTTTCTACGACAAGATGGGATTGAGAAGGTTCATGTCTAATCTTTGACACAGAGAGTATACACAACTGTTTCGGATCAGTTATCATCTATATGTGTATATATTTATATTAACACATACATCCACGTCAGACTTTATCATTGATACTCTCTCATATACATCTTTATCAGAGCAAATTTATTAGTACTTATATTTTAAGTCTTTTAACATATATTATGTACAATTAAGTAGTAAGATATTCATAATTAGGTGACGTGGGGCAGCTTAATGGATAAACTGTTTGAGTAATCATAGTCGTACCATCAAATCACAATCATAATCACACTCATAATCCCCCACCATAATAAAAGACAATAAATTTATGGGTACTATTTACACACCCACTTTTTATTTTTTCCTGATCCTTCAATGAAAAAGATTTTTTCTCTTCAAAAAATAAGAGGTTACCAATAAATTTTTTATTTTTTTTTTCAATCCCTGAAGTTGAAAATCAATAGAGAAAAGTCCCTTAATTGATTATCTAATTTGGGTTTGTTGTAATAAAATTTGTGTTCCCATATAATAACTAAAAGTAATCAAATCAGGTAGTAATTTGGTTGATAATCTCTTTAATATGCCAAAATAAAAGTTAATTGGCATTTTAGTGCAGTAAGATATGATTGATGACCAATCTATATAAAACACACCATTAATAGAAACTACAGTAACACACAAATAAGATGATGCCAAAAAAAATATAGATAGAGAATGTTAAATAGTGAATATTTGTGATGGTGTTAACAAATATATACATGTGTGTGTGTGTGTGTGTGTGTGTGTGATGGACAATAAACAGATGTGACAATATATCTGGAAAAAAAAAATTAAAAATAAATGTTTCTGCATCAACTTGCCATGTGAACTCCTTTAAATCCTATCTGGCAAATAAATTGAAAGTAGATAAAATATTTGTTTATGATCGAACGAATGCGAGCTCCTTACAATTCGCATCTCGCCTTTAGTGGTTAAACAAGTTTATGTACACATACTTGAGCAATTCTCCTTCACAATTCTTAAAAGAAAGTGATATATAAAAACTTGAAGGTATTGTACATAAGAATACATTCTTAATTTAAGCTTTTGATCCAATTTGTCTCTGTTTCTGTTTAAGAGAATGTAAATAAATTATTTACAACGAACTACTAGCTTGAAAACAATAAAAGCAATCCATCCAGGGTCGACACAGTGCAGTAAAATCAAGCTTATAATTCACCAAATGGCAAGCGTAGCTTCCTTGCAACCTCCCATGATATTGCGCTGGTAAGCACGAACACTTTTCTTTGGCGCCCCATTGCTTGCTTCTACCAGTACCCCCAGACGAACCAAGCCTGGCTCAAGATTTGTTCACCTTATCGCCGGCACGTTCTTGAGCCCAGTTAGGTATAGCAGGAACTCGCCTCGAGGCTTTCACACTCAATGGGTTGTCCTTGCTCTGCAGGAAGGAAGTTACTATGTTATGTTTTATTCACAAGACAGACTCAAACAAACAATAGAAAAGAAATGGAAATGGGAAAGCAGTCGAGTTCTTTTGCTCATTCCAATGGTCTAACCATGGTATAAGATGACTAAATGAGTTAATAAATCATAAATCAAAATTCTGAAGGCAAAAAACGATCTCATTGTAAATTACCAGTCGGCAAGATCCTTCATCAAGGTCACAGACTGGATACTCATGGGGGCAGCAGCTATAGTGGTCATCACAGCAGGTAGCAGACTCAAGGGGACAGCATCCCCAGCCAAAGCAGTAGCCACCATATTCATAGACACAGCAGCATGTGCTTCCCTCTTGGCAATTGAAGTAATCGTCACAGACAGTGGGGGGCTTTACTGGTGGAGATGGAGGGGATGGACCAGGGTTGGGAGGGTTTTGACCAGTCTTGGTGGGGTATGAGGCTTCCATTGCAATGCCACACTTGCCAGTTTTGGTATTTATGTTGCGCTCCATCCTGATGTACCCACTCTCTCCCCAATTGGGACCCCACGAATTCCTCACAATCCAATAATCCTTACCATCTTCTGTACCATATCCAACAGCAACAACACCGTGGTCTAACTGTTGTGTACAGTGTCCAGTAAATACACCCTGAACAGATAAAGAGGAGTCAATTTCAATAATAAAGAGAAAATGTGTTTCTTAAGAAATTATCCTCTGATTCTCATCAAATAGAGCTAACTCCCCATCAAAAGAGGACATATAAAAAAATAAAATATAAATCAATTATCAGCAACCGGCTTATCTGGCCCTGTGAATAGTTCATGCTTCAACCATATATAGTTTGGGCAATGCCAAAGGTTGAAATCAAGAAGATCCGTTTGATCAATGGGATTCCTCACTATTGGATCAAGTATCATAATGCAAAATAAGAAAGATAATACCAAATAACACTTAAGAAAATACATCACGACTAAACACAAAACTATGAAAAAATAAATAAATAATGAGCCAAAATTTGAAGTAAAACTTTTTAAAAGCTCCCCTTAATAATTTTGGAGCACATTAATCATCACATAAATATATAATTATTAGCATAAAAAGATTAATTTACATAGCAGAAACTATGATAGAATTTTATAATATTAGACTAACTTATAAGATGAAAGAGTTCATGAACCTATCCTTTCTCAGTTTTCAATCAATCAGCATTTAAATATTCAACTTGCAAAAGAAATTTTTTTGGGGGGGATATGGGGGAACTTAGATGAGCATAAAGATTTGTGTAGATATTAGGTGATAGGTTTATACAACTTACTGAAGTTTAGAGAGAGTAGTCAATTGCTTTAAGCTGTTTTTTAAGAAGCAAATTTTTTTCCCCTTCTCAATTACATATAATAGCAAAACAACAAACCATAAGATATGTATATATGTTTATATAACCCCAACATTTCGAATAGCCTAAATTAATAGTATATTGATTTAAAGTAAACCAAAAAGTAATTATAATAAATAGTAGGGTTGCGTTCGGTTTGGACCGGTTTAAGAGTTTTTTTGGAACCAAACCAATTCTAAAGGATTCATAAAATAGTATATTGATTTAAAGTAAACCAAAAAGTAATTATTGAATCAATATGTTTTGAACAATTTTGACATGATTTTCTCTTATAAGACATATAAATGTATAGTGCATTAGTTTTATACCATTTTTGAAACTCAGTCTCTAAATTATGAAAAAGGTGTATAAAAATAACATAGAATTGGGAGTCGTCTCGGGAATCCATGATTTCTGTGATCTTATAAGAATCTCACCGAAGGTTCTCTATTGGGATTTTAACATTAATAGACAATGTCACTTGACCAGGATATGGTAGAAATGAATTGAGATATATATATGTTGTTTCCCAACCAAAAGAAAGAAAAAGACAAAAGGAGTGGGAAATATATGCATAAACTTTATTATTATTATTAAACCTTAGATAGAGCGGAATGGAAATACAAGATTCATATAACCGACTCAATGCAGTTGGGAAAAGACTTTGTTTGTTTGTAAATGTCGTGGCTATTAAAACCAAATTTCAAATCATATCCTATTAAAGAATGAATCAAGAGAAAATAATGTTGACTTACAGATGTGTAGAGTTGGAAATCCCTGCCGCCAGCTTCAATTGCAACAGAGACTGGTTGGCTTGCAACAGCCTTCTGCAAGGATTTCTCATCATTTTCTGGGACATCTTCATAACCATTAATTGTAACAACCCGAGCATTTTTCTGAAGAAAAGAACATGACCAGAAAACATAAGATGCAACATTCATAAATTTGACTAAAACACAAATATTAATTGCTATTTTTCTTTTCTCTTCACAGAGTTTGATATGGCACAAACCCGATTTTGATCACACATGCCATCGGTAGCCTTGTACGGGTAGTCCGCCTCGCTATCAATGCCACCATTGTTGATGATAAATTCAAAGGCATAATCCATAAGGCCTCCATTGCATCCATTGTTATAAGATTTGTCACAATCCACCAGCTCTTGCTCTGACAGAGTGATCATATCTCCAGTTACGATTTTATTTATCCCTTCCACAGAACCAACAGTTGAGAATGCCCAGCAACTCCCTACATTTGAATACTATGCATATAAGAAAGAGGATACGGCAGTATACATAAATTTTAGAATTGAATAGCGACATCAATCAATAGGTGAACATGATTAACTGTATATACGAAATGAATCTACACAAATTCCTAAAAAGGCAAAAATAGATTCCACAAAGTTGCAACCAATGTTTGAAAACCATTCTTCACAATTTTTACGGAATGTTTATGGAAAGTCTCATATGATACAAACCAGGAGTCTAAGAGGCATATATTTCCTGCTAAAAATATATATATATATTTCCACATAAATTCTCACATATCAAAAATGATAAATGATATCCTAACCTTTTTTCCCGAGAAAAAAAAAAAAAAAAATTCATTTTAAACAAATGATCCGTCCAAAAAGGCCCAAATTGGGTCCCGATATGCAGAAAATGTGAAACACACGCCCATATTCCCGGACCCACGTTCACATACAAGTCTCCTCCTCTCATACCCATTAAAGAAAATAATAGTAAAATAAAGTTCAAAAACGTGTGTGTGTGTGTATATCATATTACTCACCGCACTGTCCTTGATCCTTGACCGGAGCGACGGCCCCTTTGGACCTCCAATCAACCGACTCCGGCAAATCATCGCCGGCGCGAAATGCGTAACGATCGCTCCTGGGAGTCGACAACATCTTCTTCCTATCAAATTTCGAACCCACAAACTTAGATCGGTACTCGTCGTTCGTCAGATCAGCAAACTTGTTCAACCCAACTTTGTACGGCCTGTTCTCAGCATTACGTTCGTCGATGAACCTCAGGTTATCCTTGAAGATCTCGAACCGCTTCTCCTTCTCACCGATCGCGTTGTAGTTCTTGCCGTGCCTCACGAGCCAGGACTCGTAGATCGACCTGAGCTCGCGGTCCGTTCGCGGAGGGATGGCCTGGCCGTGCTGTTTGTCGTACTCGATTATATTCATGTCCAGAGCGGAAGAGAGAGCGAAACAGAGGAAGAGGAAAGAAAGGAAAGTGGCCATGGAAGGAGATCTGAAGATCGCCATTGTGTTTGAAACTTCTCAGATTGAAATGGGTCTAGTTTGATTTGATTTGGGAGAGAAGAGAGAGATACGCATGGATATATATAGAGAGAGAAAGAAAAGTAGAGAGAGAAAGAGGAGTCGTCCGAGAAGGATGTGGGTTTGAGATTTGATATAGGATTGTGGGGGTGAGTATAGATTGGTCAACTCCGTTGAAATAGGAGTAGAGTCCCTCTGTCACAAGCAAACTTGTGAGTTGTGGGCCATTTGAAACATTGGATGGACCAACGGCCCAACCTAAATATGGCAAATCGAACCCAACCTTTTTGGTTAACCTACCTATATCCGACTTCTATTTTTTCGATTCTATAAAAATCAACTTCTTCTACCAAGTTTGGTACCCAAAACCTTTTTTTAAAAAAATATTATTTTCCATGCTTATAATTTTCTTATTAAATTTTTTTTTTTTGTTAATTTATAAATTTTATTAAATTAGTATATTTTCAAAGTATAAGAGAATTATTCAAATGTCTTTGCAAATTAAAATAAATGAATATATATATATATATATATGCAAAATTTTGAAAGGTATAATATTGTAAACAAGATTTTTTATATAGGATTGAAACTAAATTAACTAAAATTTTAAAGCCATATGTTTTTATTCATGAATTCAGTGAAATTAAGAAATGAATATAAAATAAAAATAATTAATTTTTTAAAACAGTACATATGAACTAAAGTTCAAAGATATAAATCTCACTAACTACACAAGATGAAGTTGGAAATTTGATAGATTTCCAACTGTGGTGAAAATATTTATAAAAAATAAAAAGTAAAACATTGTTATTGAAATTTGGTAAAACTTGTTAGTATTTAAATAAAGGATTAGGACTTTCTCAATATGGATGATATTATTAATACATTTGCAGGTCCGGAGTTTGAATATATGACATAGTATTAAATGGATTACTTGGTGGAGAAGAAAATCTGAGCTCAAGGACTTATTAGTCAATACATCTTTAAGACTTAAGAGTTAAGAGTTACTTTATTTTATTTATTTTGAATGGGTCACTGCTCACTAGTCTTTTTCCATGTGACGTACATCTTTTTGTAAAGTTTTAAGCAAAGTCATGGATATTGAATATTGATTCTAAAGTTTTAGAAAAGTCATGAATATTGAAATTTGGTTTATTGTTTAAATTTGTACAAATTAATATGCAATAGTCAAGAAATATTTTTCTCCCTCTCTCACACAAACAATACCTAGGAGTGTTAGGTTGGTAACTTTGGCAACGAGGCACAGACAAAAAAATATAAGGTAAGAGAATACTAATATGTTATAAGTATATAATTGAAATAACCAAAAAAAAAAAAAAAAACAAAAGAAAAATCTTGGACACCAATGAGCAGGGGGGCACATGCCCCTCCTGAAATTTTTGTTTTTTCTATTATTATATGCATATTTGTTTTGAAAGTTTAAAAATGTCCCCCTCAAAAATAATAAAATTAATGAAAAAAAAAAAGTTAGAGTGAAAACATGCTATAATTTGCAAGCCCTTAGGGCAACTCCAATGAACTGTCAATTTCAAAATATAGCAAGTGGGTTTAACATGGGTTGTTAAATGGATTGCCGAAATATAGCTTTGCCAAATCTTGTACCAAATATAGCACAAATTATAGCTATTGCTATTGCTTTTGCCAAACTGAAATATATGGGTTTTGAACTTTGATTCTTGTAGATTTTGTAATTTGGTGTTGTGCTTGAGTGTATATATACATATATGCGTCAATGTTGGTAAATATGTGTGTGTGTATGTCTGTGTTTATATATATATATGTCTGTTAATCCAAAAGTTGCCTAAATTTCAAACTCAATTAGATTTGATGATTATTATTTTTTATTTATTTTTAATAAGGCAAATAAACTAAATAAAATACAAACACTCAAAAAAAAAAAAAAAAATGGTTGTTAAAAAATAATGGTAGTTGTGTCAAAAAATAGCATTTTGGATGAAATGTATCATTAGAGTAGAATTGCTAAAATATAGCATTTTGACACTATAGCTCCTCCCAAAATATAAATTTGGTATGCAAAAATGACATTTTGCATTGGAGATGGTCTAAAGGAAAAGACAATGTTTAGTAGTGTGTTACGGGGTATGGCCTAAAGCCTAAAAGTGGATGAAAAACCAATGATTAGTAGTGTGTTTGAGTGGTGATAACTTTGTAGTTGGTACGTGTGCCGGTCAAATTCTGAACAAAAATAGTGAGGCCGTTGTACAGAATCTTCATGCTCTCTCTGCTCGTCCTTGCTCCATTTTTCAATTTCATTTTCTTCAATTGCTCTTTACAGGGTTCAACATCAGAATTAGAATAGGAAGGAGAGAATTAAACGATAGAGATATAAATCAAAATCAATCTTCTATTTTACTGTCAATCTATCATCGACTCACCCCTTAATTTGCATGTTTTTTTTTTTCTTTTCTTTTCTGAATTTATAGGTAAAACACACTCATTTTTGTATAGAATATGAAAACCCTAGTTTTGTTTTGTTCACATGAATCTATCATTTGTTTTAGTAACTGCAATTTAGTATGCGCTGTTCATAACGTTACATGAATCTATCACATGAAGTAGATCAAAAATATTATACTGTTGCTTGATAATTTTGTGATTTTGCTATGATTTTTTGTTTTTATTGTTTGTCTTTTGATGTGAATTTTTTTTTTTTCCTTCTTCTGTGGTGACCCTTCGAGATACAATTCCGGCTCCGCCCCTGCCAACAAGAACGCTGGTGTCGGATTGTAGTCTAACCCGATTTTCAAACGTGTTTATTGTCCACCATATAATTATCACCAAGGCAAATGTGCCACGTTACAAACTTCCAATTGTTTATATATTTTTATATTTGGATATGCAGAAAAGAGATTAGGTATTGCAACATATTGCTGGCTTGGTTGAATTTCGAGAGAGAACTATATATATATATATCTCACAAACATGCACAAAACCATCCTAAAAAAGTCCACTGGTGCGTCCAACAATTCCACCACAGAGAGAGAAACAGAGCAGAAGAAAGAAGGTACAATAATGGCAAGAAGACAAAGTTAGTCTCGTGACTCATGAGCCCATACAAGACACACACATATATATATATATATATATAGTTTTTGGAAAATTAAGCAACGAATATAAATGATAAAATAATTACATAAGGTGAGCCATTTGGCCAAGACAGCCCGAAAGGGAAACAACCCAAAGAGAGAAATAAAGCCCTAGAGTGGCCCAAAGAAGGGAAGCCCAGCCATGAAGCCAAACTAACTACCGTAATTAACGGCTAATTAGCTGTTAAGTGTGGTTGTTAGTGCACGATCAGGTGAGAAACCCTAACAAAGGATGATGGCTAATCATTATCCGAGCATATCAATCCGGTGGTCTTGAAGGAGGGCGACAGTGAACAGGTGACAAATTCCAATCCCTGAGAATTTGCCTTGAAGATTGATTATCTTTCAAAGAACCCCAACTTGAGAAACTGCTCACTAGTCTTTTTCCATGTGACGTACATCTTTTTGTAAAGTTTTAAGCAAAGTCATGGATATTGAATATTGATTCTAAAGTTTTAGAAAAGTCATGAATATTGAAATTTGGTTTATTGTTTAAATTTGTACAAATTAATATGCAATAGTCAAGAAATATTTTTCTCCCTCTCTCACACAAACAATACCTAGGAGTGTTAGGTTGGTAACTTTGGCAACGAGGCACAGACAAAAAAATATAAGGTAAGAATATACTAATATGTTATAAGTATATAATTGAAATAACCAAAAAAAAAAAAAAAGAAAAAAAGAAAAATCTTGGACACCAATGAGCAGGGGGCACATGCCCCTCCTGAAATTTTTGTTTTTTCTATTATTATATGCATATTTGTTTTGAAAGTTTAAAAATGTCTCCCTCAAAAATAATAAAATTAATGAAAAAAAAAAAGTTAGAGTGAAAACATGCTATAATTTGCAAGCCCTTAGAGCAACTCCAATGAACTGTCAATTTCAAAATATAGCAAGTGGGTTTAAATGAGTTGTTAAATGGATTGCCGAAATATAGTTTTGCCAAATCTTGTGCCAAATATAGCACAAGTTATAGCTATTGCTATTGCTTTTGCCAAACTGAAATATATGGGTTTTGAACTTCTGATTCTTGTAGATTTTGTAATTTGGTGTTGTGCTTGAGTATATATATACATATATGTGTCAATGTTGGTAAATATGTGTGTGTATATGTCTGTGTTTATATATATATATGTCTGTTAATTCAAAAGTTGCCTAAATTTCAAAACTCAATTAGATTTGATGATTATTATTTTTTATTTATTTTTAATAAGGCAAATAAACTAAATAAAATACAAACACTCAAAAAAAAAAAAAAAAAATGGTTGTTAAAAAATAATGATAGTTGTGTCAAAAAATAGCATTTTGGATGAAATGTATCATTAGAGTAGAATTGCTAAAATATAGCATTTTGACAGTATAACTCCTCCCAAAATATAAATTTGGTATGCAAAAATGACATTTTGCATCGGAGATGGTCTAAAGTAAAAGACAATGTTTAGTAGTGTGTTACGGGGTATGGCCTAAAGCCTAAAAGTGGATGAAAAACCAATGATTAGTAGTGTGTTTGAGTGGTGATAACTTTGTAGTTGGTATGTGTGCCGGTCAAATTCTGAACAAAAATAGTGAGGCCGTTGTACAGAATCTTCATGCTCTCTCTGCTCGTCCTTGCTCCATTTTTCAATTTCATTTTCTTTAATTGCTCTTTACATAGTTTAACATCAGAATTAGAATAGGAAGGAGAGAATTAAACGATAGAGATATAAATCAAAATCAATCTTCTATTTTACTGTCAATCTATCATCGACTCACCCCTTAATTTGCATGTTTTTCCTTTTTTTTTCTTTTCTGAATTTATAGGTAAAACACACTCATTTTTGTACAGAATATGAAAACCCTAGTTTTGGTTTGTTCACATAAATCTATCATTTGTTTTAGTAACTGCAATTTAGTATGCGCTGTTCATAACGTTACATGAATTTATCACATGAAGTAGATTAAAAATATTATACTGTTGCTTGATAATTTTGTGATTTTGCTATGATTTTTTGTTTTTATTGTTTGTCTTTTGATGTGAATTTTTTTTTTTTCCTTCTT